AGGGATAATGTACAGCAACACACAGGTGTGCAAAAACATCTGTAAGACTCTAACCTGTATCCAGGTTGCAGAGTAATTTATTTCCTAAAAATATTTTCTCCTAATTGCTACTTTCTACTACAAAAGTAAACTGGTAGAACAACTATAAGGTACAGAACAATAAAAAATAATCAAGGAAGCCCTCCAGCAACTAGGAAAGACTATATTGCAAAAATCAAAGCAGTTGCAGATTACATGTCTTCTTTATTTTTTTTGTATTTTTTAATATATATTATTTTGTATATTTGAATTCATGATCTTGAGGAATATGGGCCAAATGAAGAGTAAAGTCCCTGAATTTTAGGAGTGTGAACTTTCAGTTGTTTAAGGAACTAGCGGAGGGGAGCCCCTGGGAAACTGCCCTTAGTGATAAAGGAGTAGAACAGAGCTGGCAGCTCTTTTAAGAATGTCTTTTGTAAAGTACAAAAGGTCTGAATTCCCCTGTGTAAGCAATCGGGCAAGGAAGGCAGGAGACCAGCAGAGCTGAGTAAGGACATTCTGATCAAACCGAAGTGCAAGAAAAACACATAGGCACACGAAGCAGGTATATATGTCCATAGGGAAGAACATAGGGGTGCTGCCTGAGTGTATAGGAATGGGATCAGGTGAGCTAAAGCACAGTTGGAGCTGAATTTGGCAATGGGTATGTTGGTCAGAAAAGGAAGACTTAAGAAAATGTATATACTCCCACCCCCCTGATAAATAAGATAGGAAATCTAGTGACAACCCATGTGGAGAAGGCTGAGGTACTCAACAGGGGTTTTTTTGCCTCAGTTTTCACTGGCTATCACGCTTCCCACATCTCTCAAGGCAGGGACTGGGGGAATAAAGGTTCTCTGTTGTAGGAGAAGACCGAGCTCAAGACCATCTGAGGAACCTGAACATGGACAAGTCCATGGCACCTGATGTGATGCATCCCAGGGTCCTGAGGGAGCTGGCAGGTGCAGTTGCTAAGTCACTCTCAATCATATTTGAAAAGTTGTGGCAGTCAGGCAAAGTCCCCAGTGACTGGAGAAAAGGGAATATCACACCCATTTTTAAAAAAGATTAGAAGGAGGACCCTGGGAACTACAGACCAGTCAGCCTGATCTCTGTGTCTGGAAAGATCATGGAACAGATCCTCCTGGAAGCTACGTTGAAGCATATGGAAGACAGGGAGGTGATTTGAGACAGCCCATGTGGTTTCACTGAGGGCAAACAGTTCCTGACTAATCCAGTGGCCTTCTGTGGTGGAATGAGTGGACAAGAGAAGAGAACCTGAACTTCTCAAAGGTCTTTGACATGGTCCCACACAACATTCTTTCTTCTAAATTGGAGAGAGATGGATTTGACGGATTGTGGAAGGATATTTACAAAATAAGGGACATGTGAACAATCCAGCCTTTTCAGAGAGCCTGGGCTGGGACGTACCGGAACTCCGGAAAGCATAAACAACTTCCGGTGCAGAGGGCATCAACATCTTGCAGGTGCAGAAGAAGAGACAGCCGCCATTAATGACGCAGTTTTAATTCCTGAAGAAGATGGGTGTGAAGGGTGTGAACATCTGTGAACGTGACTTAAACATGACTTGGAATATGGCCAGTCGGGTTGGACTATGGGCCGATTATTTGCGATGAAGCCAATCAGTATTTATTGGGTGTGGTCGAGGGTTATATATTGCACTGAAAAACACAAATAAAGGTTCACTTGTTAGATCACATTGATCGTGCCAGTGTTCTCACACAGCTCCCGCAACGGATAGGCTGTTAGATGGGTAAGGAATTGGCTGGATGGCTGCATCCAAAGAGTTACAGTCAATGGCTCAATGTCCAAATGGAAACCAGGAACAAGTGGTGTCCCTCAAGGGTCCATACTGGGACCAATACTGTTTAATATCTTCATTAATAACATAGACAGTACGATTGAATGTACCCTCAGCAAGTTTGCATATGACGCCAAGCTGAGTGGTGCAGCTGATGTGCTGGAGGGAAAGGATGCCACCTGGAGGGGTGCTGACAGACGTGACAAGTGGGCCCATGTGAAACATGAAGTTAAACGAGGCCAAGTGTAAGCTCCTGTACCAGGGTTGGGATAATCACCAGTATCAGTACAGATTGTGTGATGAAGGGATTGGGAGCAGCCCTGCAGAGGACTGGGGGGTTCAGGTGGATGAAAAATCAGACATGAGCTGTCAATGTGCGCGTGCAGCCCAGAAAGCCAACTGTGTCCTGGGCTGCAGAAAAAGCAGCATAGCCAACAGGTTGAGGGAGTTGATTCTGCCCTTCTAATCCTCTCTGGTGAGACCCTCCCTGGACTAGTGCATCGAGCTCTGGGCTCCCCAGTACAAGAAAGACATGGACCTACTTGAGTGGGTCCAGAGGAGGGCTGTGAAGATGGTCAGAGGGCTGGAGCACCTCTCCTGTAAAGAAAAGCTAGGAGAATTGGGGATGTTTGGCCTGAAGAAGAGAAGGCTCTGGGGAGACCTGAGCTAGGAGAATTGAGGATGTTTGGCCTGGAGAAGGCTCTGGGGAGACCTGATTGTTGCCTTTCAATACTTAAAGGGGGGCTTATAAGAGAGATGGAGAGAGACTTTTTATCAGGGCCTGTGGTCACTGCACAAGGGGTAATGGTTTTAAACTGGAAAAGAGTAGATTTAGATTGGATATAGGGAAGAAATTTTTTACAGTGAGTGTAGTGGGACACTGGAGCAGGTTGCCCAGAGAAGTTGTGGATGTCCTATCAGCAGTGTTCAAGGTCAGGTTGGATGAGGCTTTGAGCAACCTTTGATCTAGTGGAAGGTGTCCCTGCCCGTGGCAGGAGTGTTGGGTTAGATGATCTTTAAATGGTCCCTTCCAACCCAGACTGTTCTAAGATTCTATTACCAGTTATCACAGATAGGGTTGGGGTTTTTTTTAAGCCTCTGTCTGCAGGAACAGAATAGAGTAGTTACCATTGTTGCTATACAACAGCAATCAAATAGAAATAGTTTTGCAAGTGTTTCTGTGTCCTCCTTCCCTGGGCTGACAGAATAACCTTAACTTGCTGCATTACTGTCCACCAGCTCAAAATAAGGAATCTTGGTTCTATGCAGGTGAAAGACAGCCCAACCAATACATCTTAATCAACGCTGTATCTCTTTGGACTTGTGTACCTTCTCATTGTACAACAGCCTAGCAATTACTTAGATGATGTATTTTGCCCATTATGAATAAATAATTGAATCATTTTGAAGCCAAGATATTTGTTACTATAGACACCACAAATACGATTAGAAGCATGCCTTTCCCTCCTGTCTTCCTAGTACTACAGTGGCCAGTGTTAATCTCAAAAAGCTAAAAATCATGCAAGACAGCAATATAGGGTACTTTCTTTGCTTCCTTTACTCTCCATTTTAATTTTCCTGTTGTCGTCATGTTCAGAAGAGTTAGCCAGAATATTCTGAAGGAGATACCATACTGCATCATAGTCCTATACTGCGGTAGGACAAGGAGTAATAGTTTTAAACCAAAAGAGGGTCAGATTTAGACTAGATATAAGGAAGAAATAGAAGCCCCATCCCTGGAAACATTCAAGATCAGGCTGGACGGGGCTCTGAGCAACCTGGTCTAGTTAAAGATGTCCCCGCTCACTGCAGGGGCATTGGACTAGCTGACCTTTAAAGGTCCCTTCCAGCCCAAACTATTCTATGATAATATACAATACACATAATACACTGCTTCACATGATCCATGTTTAGCAGAGGTATACAAATTCCAACAAGGTTTGCAAAACCAAGAACAGTCTGTGTTCAGAGAGAAAGATACGCTTTTTTTTCCAATCCAAATGGATGCCACCAACCAATTCAATTTAATGAAAATATTGCAGAAGATTTTAATTGATATAAAGAACAAAGGCTGAAACTGGCTAATCTCAAAGTCTTTATTCTTCCAGATAAAGAACTTGTGTCACTGCTCCATTTACTCCACTTACTGCACAAAAAAGATGAAACCAACCAACCAAAAGTCCAAAACAAAAAAGCAAGCAGCAATCCTTAAATCAGTTCTTGAATCTCAGATGTATTTAGCAAATTAGTTGAGAAGCGAAATGTGGGATGTTGAAATACAGACGTGGGTGTTACCAAGGTGGTATATTATTCCCTGCAGTTGTTGGTATCTTTCTGGAGCTAAGCAATTTAGTTTTCTATTGTTCAAATTGCTAACAACTCGAAGATGAAAATTATCATGAATAGAACATTGAGAATGTACTCCACCTCACAGATGACTTAAGTTTGTCTAATTTATCTCTACCTTTGAAAATTGTAAAGTTTTGCATAGATGACCATTAGTAGAAATAATTTAGGTATATATAAACATTAACTCTGTAATTTTTTAAAAAAAGTTAATTTTAGCTAATAAATCTATATATACACATATACACCGGTTTTCCCCCAAATGAAAGTGATTAGACTGGGAGATGTCAGCAGATACAGAATGGGAGATTTCATTCATTCCTAGATATACATTACAGTTGTCTAAAGGATAACTTTAGGAAGTACAGTAGAACAATTCTTCACCTCAAACCATACTTGTTCTGAAAATTATACTTAAATTTTCAGTGAGAAAAGGACCAGTGTGACCCAACAGACCACTGTTGCAATATATTCTGCAATTAGTATGTAAGTAGGATAAAGTGGTAATGGCTCAGTATAATTACCATCAAATTGCATTTAAGTTAATCAGTAATTAAGTTCATGGTTATGTTAAATTGTCAGTAGCCTCTAACCATTGTTACTGGCACAACCGTGCAGTTCCAAAGACTCAAAGTGTTAGGCACACACAAATCTCTAACCGCATGCACACAAAATGCTTCGACAGGACAAAAGGAATATTTTCCTGACTATTTGGCAACGGTTGGGCCTGACTATTTGGCAACGGTTGGGAAGGACCAAAACCACAGTGAGTATGTATGTAATTAAAAATACTCTAGCTTTAAAAAAACAGATACTATAATCTGTTATTGTAAACTGAACAGTCTATCATCAATGGATTCATATGTTTATATTTTGCTTGAATATTTACATAGACAGCAAGATTGTTGCTGCTTTTTATTACTATCCTGTGAAAGACACGGCCCTCTTTCATGAGATCTTCAACCTTCTTATCTGTTGACATGAGTATTTTCTTTTCTCCTGTATAATCAGGGTCTTCTGGATATAACTCATCTCCTGGGGGCAGAAAAAAAAAAGTGTTAGTTATACATTGTCTACCTTATTTTTCAGCCTTTTGATTGAGTGACACTACCAATTTTTAAATATTTATCAGGACATGAAACTCAGTGGGAATATATTTCACTATACGATAGGAAATTGCCTCTAAACATCTTCAGATTTAAACATACAGCCATAAATTTCTGAAGTATCTGTCAGTGATACTGCAGGGCACATTTGAAGCGTGATTTAATGTTCCAGTGTTCCTGGTAATATTAATACACTATAATCATAGTCTGGTCAGATAGGAATTTATATAGGTGGAGAACAAAACAGATACTTTCAAGTGTATAAAGACAGGCTGCAGTAGGACTAAGGATAGAAACTTACTTTGTTGGAGAAAAGTGTTTTGCCATATAAATGCATGTTACTCTTGTGCAAAAACACTAAGATACTACAAATACAGAAATTCTAGAGGTCAGTTGTGCAAAAAAAGGAGAAAGTATAATGAAAAGCAAACTAAAGAAGCAGAAGATAATAAGTACATGCAGCTTTTCTTAAAGAGAAGGCAGAAATGTATATGATTTTGTTTCAGGAATGAAAGAGACTTAAGTAGGAGAAGGGGCAGGAGGAAAATGAATAGTGTATCTTTCTAGATCGCTGCCCTAGCACTGCAGCTGTGCTTATCCCCTTGCCCGAAAAAAAGACAGATGGTTAACTGAAGTAAAAGAGAATTCCCCCTGAAAAGGACTAAATAGGAGGAGTTCTACTACATCCTTCAAGTTAAAAGAACATCGAAATGCTAGGATTTCTTCATAAATAAATGCAATATAATGGCAACCATATGAGACAATGAGCTTATGAGTAAGTACAGAAATAACTATGCTGTCTGCCTCAGTAGCTTGTCTCTGACCCATTACAAACCCTATCAAAGAAGGAAGCCCAACAGCAGAAAAAGCGTGCAGTAACTTGACTTAAAAGAATATTTTTCCTTAAAGGTGTAAATGGTTTTTGACATGTGGCTTGAGTACGTGGCAATTACCATTTTACATATTTAAAAGATTTTATATATTTATAATATTTTATATATTTAAAAGAACGTTTATCTGTTTTCATACCTGGCAAAAGCTGAATGAAGCCATCTGAAGCATTTAATATCACAGGCATCCAACATTCACATCCCTCCAGAGCTCGATCAGAGCTGAACTTGTGTAACTCATGGAGCGAAGAGAAGTTGCACAGCCTGCACAATTCATAGAACTGAGGTGGAGCCAACCATATTTCTTGAGATTTAAAGCTTTCAATGGCTTCTGGAGGTGATGACCACTGTAAGGTGAAAACAAGCCTTGAAAGAATAGTTTCATCAGCAGATAGAAAGTATCTGTAACTTTAAAAGCCATTAGCAAGGAAGTCTTTACAGAAAAAGAGCTTGCAACAGTCCGTATTTTCTGAACACAGTAAAAAGCATGTTTAAACTATACCAAAATAACAACAACAAAGAAATTTTTTAAAAATGTAAAACATAAGCAATCTATTAAAAGTACTCTTTTTCGTATAAAAATAAGTGTTTATATTACACATAGGCATGCAAAGTTTGGAAACAGACTTGTTTTTGGACCCTGACTTAAAGTCTACTGAAACCAAGAGGAAAAAAATTAAACTCAGTGTGCACGCGGTTACCAGAGGTTGCTACTGATGCTTCAAGAATTAAAAGCACCTCCAAACATCTGCTTCCTGTACACATTTCAGAGCACAACAGCCAGCTATTCGTGCTGAAACATTGCGTTGTTCTGCAGGTTTAAACTATTGGTAATCTTCACTTTGTCTCACGTGGTGGGTTTGGTAATATAAATGCGTGTATAAACATTTGCAGTAGATTTATGCAGTTACTAATAGAACTATGCCAAACATGAACTCTTTTGAAGATAAGAGAGCTCAGGTACTTTTATATTTCTGTGGCAATATCTGTTAAAAAATACAGAAATATCAGTAATACCAAAATCATTAGCCAAACTTTTACAGAACTGTCTGGTTTCTCATCTAATTCTAACTTGCTTTCAAACTTTTCAGAATTCTAGAAAAGATTAAAGACCCTAATGTACCTGACTCTGAGCTGTTGTTAAGAAGGTTCTTTGTGAAGTTTTTTAGTTTTACCCCTCCAATTTAAAAAAAAAAAAAAGTAAAAAAAAAAAGTAAAAAAATTTGTTTTAATACTACACTATTTCAACAAGTTTGTTTGTTTCTTAAAACATTTCAAGTAACTGCAAAAGACAAAAATGCCTAGCAGTGCTGGCAGCTCTGGAGCACTCTGTACGTACCACGTGGATCTCCCCAAGCACACTGAATGTTTAGGTACAATGGCAATACGCCGTTAGTACTGCACGAGTTAACGTACACAGAGTGATGATTTGTCATCCACCTTTGAAGGGCACAGTGATTCAAGGTGAAAATGATCTTACACGGCACGCATCCCGAGTCATAAAACTTCGTGTAAATGGCCTCGAAGAGACACCCTCTTCTGCCAGCAGTTACAGCTGCACGACTGATGGAAGGGGACAGCGGCAGTTACTGACTGGAAGGAGATGTGCAAGGGAGAGGATCTCCGTGAAGAGGAAAACTCCCTTCCCTTTTCTCACATTTTACGGGAGCGTTACAGGGACGGCGAGAGCGCCGGAGCGGTGTTCGGCTATTTAATCTGCCCTGGAAAACAGGCCAGAGGCTGGGCGATGAAGAGGAGGGCTGCGTGGGTCCCTGCGGCGGGCTGCCGGCGGGGCGCGGCGAGGGCCTTGTGGCGCGGCGGCGGGCGCCCTTACCAGGAAGGCCGTCACCTCTCGGTCGTCCTGCGCCGTGCGGGGCGGCCGCTCCTTTAGGCAGCACA